CACCTGCATCCTCCTCACCCAAAATCCGGGGGATGCCCAAGGTGTGGGGGGACACTCACCCTCCCGCAGGCAGGCCTGCAGCCGGGGGTGCCCCACGTCGGCCTCCTCCCCGTTCAGCCACAGACGGTCCTCAGTGAAGTCCCGGCTGGCGGCTGCTGTGGTGGTGGTCTTCAGCTGCAGGGAGAAGGGTGGGGGGAGTACGGGATGTGGGGGGGTGGAATCAGTGCCCCCCCTGCCCCTGCACAATGTGGGGAGGCAGACAGGCCCGCCCCTGACCCTGACCCCACACCAACCTGGTCCTGGTGCAGCGTCACGCTCAGGGAGGAGTTGATGGGCAGGATCAGGTCATTGTCCCGCTTGCCCCCTGCAAGAGATGGCACGGCATGGCACGGCATGGCTCAGCATAGGTTGGCTTGGAACAGCTTGGTACGGCACAGCTTGGCATGGCATGGGACAGCCTGGTATGGCATGGGACAGCTTGGCACGACACTGCTTGACAAGGGGCAGCCTGGCATGGCATGGGACAGCTTGGCATGGCACTGCTTGGCATGGGACAGCCTGGCATGGCATGGGACAGCTTGATATGGCATGGGACTGCCTGACATTGCATGGGACAGCCTGGCATGGCACAGCCTGGGTATGGCATGGGACAACCTGGCACGGCACGGGTACAGCACTGCTTGGCACGGCACGGCATAGTAACTCTTGCTATGGCATGGCACGGCACGGCACGGCATCTCTAATGACCATGGCGAGCGCCCGCTCCTCCGCCATCGCTCCGCCGCCGCCGCCGCGACCCCGGCCCAGGGCGTGCGGCCCCCAAGCCCCGCCCCCGCGCCACTCACGTGGCCGTCGTCCGTGGAGCTCCGCCGCCTCGCCATTGGTCAGCACCGCAGCGCCCGTCTCCCGCCGCCCAATGGCAGCGATCGGACCACGGAGAGGCCCCGCCTCGCTCCGCCCCCTGTCAGTGCTGGCGGGGGCAGGCGGGGGCGCCATCTTGGAGTCGGGAAGGGGCTGCGCAGGCGCCGTCCGTCCCGCCCGCCGGGCCCGGCATCGCTCCGCTGCTCCCCGGTACCCCGGTGCCCCCCAGCATCCCTCTGCCCCCAGAGCACCCGTGTTAACCCCCAGTGCACCAGTGATCCCAGTTACCCCAGTACCGGCCAGTGTCCCCAGTGTCCTCAGTGCTCCCCAAATCCGTGTACCCCATACCCTCTAACGCTCCCAATATTCCCAGTACCTCTCCAGTGCTCCCAGTGTCCCCAGTGCTCCCCAAACCCGGGTATACCCCTTACCCTCCAATGCTCCAAATATTCCCAGTACTTCTCCAGTGCTCCCAGTGTCCCCGATGCTCCCCAAACCTGTGTACCCCATAGCCTCTGATGCTCCCAATATTCCCAGTACCTCCCCAAATCCATGTACCCCATACGCTCCGATGCTCCCAATATTCCCAGTACCTCTCCAGTGCTCCCCAAAACCATGTACCCCTTACCTTCTAACACTCCCAATATTCCCAGTACCCCTCCAGTGCTCCCAGTGCCCCCAGTGCTCCCCAGACCCGTGTACCCCATACCCTCAGACGCTCCCAATACTCCCATTACCCTTTCAGTGCTCCCAGTCCCCCCAAAGTGCTCACGATGATTCCAGTAGTCACAGAATCTCCAGTGCTCCCAGTATGTCAGGGGCTGGGAGCCACCCTCCCCTCTCGGGTGGCCCCATTCCACCCCCACTGGCACCCCCAGCTGGGCTGTGGGGTGGGTGAGTGTGTGTCCATCCATCCATCTGTCCGTCCGAGGATACTTTTATCCTCTGGCCACCCACTTGCAGTGGAAAATATCCCACAAATCCAGGTACCTGGGGGTGTCGGGGGGCACATGTGGGTGACACCGTGACGCTGGTGGGGCACAGCCCCGCTGCTGTGGGGTCACCTGTTCCGTTCCACCCCAAATAAACACCTGGGGGGGGGGGGGAGGGGAGAAGCAACTCCCCCCCCCCTCATCTCCCCCTCCCCTCCTCCCATCCCACCCCTCTCCGTAGTGGGGAGCTGTGGGCACTGGTGGGGCAGGGACTCCCTGGCCGTGCCCCCCCTCCCTGGGTATTTATAAGCATTTTCCATGGGAGGGGATGGCACGTGGCTATTTTGGGCTGTGGGACAGGTCGGGGCCCAATTTAGCCGGGCAGAGCTGCAAATAGCACAGGGGGTGGGGGGGCATGTGGCAACTTTCTCTGGCACCCACCCAAATTGTACACCCCCCCCCCCCACC